TTTAAAAAAAGTTCAAGTTCAAGTTTAGTTCAATTTTGAACTGAACTTGAACTTGGCCAAAAGTTCAGTTCAGTTCATAGGAACACCATATGCAAATATAAAGAAGCACTAGTAGATTTGAATAAATTATTAAAAATTGAACTGGATAATACAATATCATTAAGATACTGAGGGGAGACTTATTATATGAAAAAATATGAGAATTATTGAAAATAACCCTATCAGAAAGTTTATTAATTCTAATCAATAAACTGACTCAATATAAAAATTTATAATACTTTATAACTAGTTTTGGTTATATGTTTTAAATATAAATAAAATAGATAAAAATTGATTCTACTTAGCATTGAGTTTATTATATAAAATTTAAAGTGATTCAAAAAAAATTTCAAGTTTACGATTATTCAACTGGAATTTTATTATAAAAGTTTTCTAATTTAATATATTTTTGAAAAGAATAGTATAATCTGATATATAATTATACAAAATATTTTATTGCGTGAGTAAAATAATATTGAAATAATGGGAGTGTTTACTAATCAATGTTATTTTTTCATCAAAAACAAAGCACGGTAAGATTTAAACATGGTGTCCTAAATCGGCATTGGCACTATGCTTAATAACTATAAAAACTTAGTTTATTAAAATATATTTAAATATGTTAATTGATATCAAATATAATTTAATTAGTTGAATTTTAAAATATTAAACTCTATAAAATTATTTAAGTGACCAATAAACCATACACCTTTGTAATTTCATCGTTATGTTTTTAATATTCATGGTTCCATCCCGACGCTCCTACTACTGCAAGTTTATCTTTTCGTGTTATGATACATCAGAAGACTTAAGTTGCATTATCAAAGAAAATAGAAATCTAAATGACTAAGATTCTTCCATATTAAAAATTTTATCAAAGAATTCTCTGCATCAGTATTTATTCATACCTATTTCAATAATTGATTCGATAAACATAATATACAAGATCACTTCTTCTAAAAAATGAAAATAAAGTAATCCTTACTATAACGGTTTAATTTTCATTGTCAACTATCTAATGGCTCATATAGGATATATTTGCAACCTGACTATTGTTTTGAACGAAACTGTATCGATATATTCAATTATCAATTATATTATTACAGTGGAAAGAATTCAAATAATTCAAATTTGCAATTGGATAATTCATATTTATTTCATTTCTTTAATAAGAATAGAGTAATAAGATTGCTTCATGAATAAGAATAGAGTAATAAGATTGCTTCATGAATAAGAGTAACAAGATTGCTTCATGCTCATGCAGTAAATAAACTTAACTAGTAATTATCCTTAAAGACATTCTTTTTTATGTCTTTTCCAGTCCTTCTTTTGACAATCCTTGTTACAATAATACACTGATTTACACTTCTTACATCTCATGCTGCTACTCTTCATACATGTTTTACATACTCCTTCAGTCGCACATATGTGCGGTTTTCTGAGCTTTTCTCCCTGAACGTATTCTCCACATTTAAGACATTTCCATGCATGCGGCGGGTCATTCTTTAAAAAGAATTCACGGTCATAGAAACGTAGCACTTCCTTTGCATGTTGGGTTCCTTCGTCAGGGGGGAGTGTCATTATTTCCCAGCAACATGCACAAATTCCACTTATTTCTTGATATTCGCGCCGACTAAGCTCGTTTGGAAATTTTTGAGGTGACTCTCCACAATAGACGCATTTCTTAAAGCCGCCGATGGTGTGGTCATATGGAACACTTTCATCAAAATGTTTGGACATTCTCACGATAAAAAAGAGGAAATGTTTGCGAGGCTTGTGAAACGACAAATTCTGCATAAAAAGGCTGCAACATGATCTAATTCAGTAAAATTACATTGTTTATCAATAGCTTATACGCAATCAATTTCGTCATCATTATTAAAGTACGTACGTACGTACAGTACATACAATTTTCAACCAAGATTTTAGGCTAAATTTGCTAATTTCAATCTAGTAGGTCATGGTCCGACCCATAATTTTGGGTATTATATAGCTGAACATATAATACGTAACATATATAAAAAATTTTAAAACTATGTTGACACATTTAATATACATTTTTCTAGTGCATTTTAGTTATAAAAAATTTTAATTAAATTTTATAGTGTGTCGACAATGTAGTGCTGCACTGTGATAGTAAATGTTCTGTCTTAGATCTTATATTTTAGGGCTCAAAATAGAACTCTAAGTATTTTTATTTTAAACTTCCATATTATATAATCTTGTTATATGGCAAAGGGCAATGGTCGTAAAATTTACTTTAAGCCACACAAATTTAATATCTTGGTTTTCATAACATGAAACTTTTAAACAGACTCGGCCGATCCGCTTATTTTTTTTTTTAAATTTCATATATAAAAATAAAATTTTTTAAAAAATTTCTTTAAAACCCACCCGGCTATTAAAACATTTTTTCACAAGTTTTTAAAATTTTGACCCGGCCAGGTTATGAAAACCAATTAATTAATTTGCCATGGCCTTATATAAAAATTCCTGTTTTTTTTTTTATTTGACTCAAATAAAAGTTCCTACAGTCAAACCTTTTCTAGTGCAAGCCCTTGGAACCGGAGGTAAGTGTGCATTTAGAAGTATGCAATTATGAAAATTTCTATATACAGAGTACTAGCAAATCAAAATCTACATACACGTGATTAACTCAACCCTTTCTAAGTGCACGCCCTTAGAACCAAAGTAATGCACACTTAGAGAGACACAAGCCGGTCTACGGACGGTTCTTATAGACAGTAACATATGGGCGAATTTGACGCATATGATGATCATTTGAATGTGACAAAATTATGTCATTACTAGCATTATAAAAAAAAAATAATAAATTTGGCCCATGACCAGAAAAAGTCGGCCCGGTTTCATGTTTATTTCCTTTTTTAGAATCAGAGTACAACCGGAGTGAAATTCCCTAAATAGGGGGTCGTCTAAAGCCAGGTGTGTTCACGTGACCAACAGCCAATCAAATAATAAATTTTGATTTACCCGGATCA